GACCATACACTAACTCCATGACTGCAGTTGCTTGGTCTTATATAGTATCAGTAAGTAATAATTCTAATCTAAAGAATTTCTGCAGTAGAATTGATACTAACTTTATGCGTCAACAAGCTTATCTCACATTCTGTTGCTTATCTCAGCATTCCTTCGTCCTTCCTGTCATGTCTTGTTCAGTGTATTGATGACTCAAATACGTTTTGTATAACACAAAGAATGCAATTTAATATTTAGAAATCACTATAATTGATCATTCCTATATTAGTCATTGAGTAGATTGGTACTGTAATAATCTACTAATAGCAGTAATATTATGGATACACTAGATGTACAACAACATCTGAAAAAGATTCACCCCACTCTAGAAAATAATGTTTATGCTGCCAACTACCCATGTACACCCACGTATATACGTTGGTATATAATATGCTTTATATATCGATACGAATGACGTCGGTCAATATTTTGATTCATTCGGACGGGCACCTGTACGATATCATCTGGAGTTTTTTAAAAGAAATTGTAAAAGATGGAACTGGAATGTTGATAGGATTCAGAATGAGTGGACTTCAGTTTGTGGCGAATATTGCTTAATGTATTTGCTATATAAGTTTCAGGGATGTTCAATGCATAGTTTTACGAGTATATTTATAGGGAACACATTGTACAACGATATTTTAGTGGATGAGATGTTTCGCTCCTATTTTATAGATAATAAGTAATAAGATTTTGTATTTTGTAAACAAAAATTTTAACAAAATTAGGTAATGTGTTTTATTAATGAGTCAGATTAGTGTGGATAGGAACAAAGGAGAACAATAGAACCACGCTGAGGAAGAATAGATAATGACGGTATTCAATGAACAATAGACAAGTAGATAAGAACAATGTAGCGCTAATGACGGTGGAGGCCTTCACCGGATATCAATTAGATAAGAGTTAATTGATCTGCACATCTCCGGAACAGTGCATCCTACGCAAAAATGGACCGCAGATTCGTGATCAGAGAATGCCAAAACCTTTTTTTTTTAGGATCGTGTGTCGACGAACGTCGTACTTGTACCAATTCTGACTCAGTGCGCTAGAACTGGTACAACGTAACTACTGATAACGCATCTGTATTTTAGTAAGCTAAATAAATTGCTTGTTCTAGGAAACTCCGCTCTTCCAAAAACACTTTTACAACATATATTTAGACTACTATTTTTAATGAACTGAGAGACTACATACTAATTATTTAAATAAGGCATGCATACAATTTTTCTCTTGTGTGATTGAATAGGATGTGTGTGTGTGTGTGTGTGTGTGTGTGTGTGTGTGTGTGTGTGTGTGTGTAAATGTGTGTGTGTGTGTGTGTGTGTGTGCGTATGTGTGTGTGTGTGTGTGTGTGTGTGTGTGTGTTTCTATACTATGTGCGGATGTAATTCTATGTTTAAAACCTAATCATGCTCTCTACTTCCTCATAAGTTAGTGGCTTAAGCCAATTTAGGACTAGATCCTTGCATTCAAAAGTTGTTTTGGTATAGATGTTAAGTGCTTTGTTGGCCTTATTATATAGTTGACATGACATGTTTGCGTGTTGTTGTCTAGCAAAAAATGTTTTACATGTTTGCATTTTAGCTACTGAGTCAATCCTTCTTCTTGTGAATATTGAAGTGTCAAGTGGGAGAGATTTGTGTTTTTTAACAACAGTATGCAGGATATATAATTTACGTAATGACAACAAATCTGCTACGGCATAGAGTGCTTGGGTGTGGAACCTACGTTTTTTAAAGAACATGACCTTCAGAAGTGCGCGCTGCGCACGTTCAGCTACTAAAAATTTTATTTTTGATGCACCACCCCATACAGGAATGCAGTAAATCATGATAGACTGCGCCAAAGAAACATATATGCGTTTTAATAGGTCTTCTTTCGCAGAATGTCGTAAAATTTTAAAAATCCAGATTAATTTTCTGATGCGACTTGTAATAAGGTCAGTGTGGGCGTGCCATGAAAGTCTGTCATCAATCATTACTCCCAGATATTTTGTGGAGTTCACTTTGGCAATGATTGGACAGTTGCAGTTTGAAGCATTTAGGAGAGAGCAATTATGTATCGTGAGATTGTAATCTGGGTTTGGTTGCGTTCTATTGCTTATTGAAAAACACATAAAGTTAGTCTTTAATGTATTTAACGAAAGTAGGTTTAACCTTAACCATAAAGCAATAGTAAAAAGTGCCGATTCCGCGTTCTTTTTGATAGAGTCCCAGGAGTTGCCAGTAATGACCATGGCAGTATCATCAGCGTAAGAGAAGATCGAGGTACTGTTTAGGGACATACTGCAAAGCTCATTGATGTAAATGAGGAATAATGTTGGCCCAAGAACTGAGCCCTGTGGTACACCAAAGGTTAAGTCAGCATCGTTGCTCACAAAACTACCCACCCTAACCTTCTGCCTCCTGCCACTCAAATAACTTTTAATTAAATTTAATGGAGTACCTCTAACTCCAACTTTTTCTAGTTTGCGCACGAGAATGGGAACAGATACGGTGTCAAAGGCCTTCTTCAGGTCTAAGAATATCGTCAAGCATTTGCCTCCACTATCCAACTGATTAGCTATGAGTGATGTTAGGGATAAAATAGCATCCTGGGTAGATTTTCCTGATTGGAAGCCGTATTGTGAATCTGCCAATATGTTGTATTTTTTTAGGAAGGTTACCAGTCTTTTATTAATAAGCTTCTCTAGTATTTTGGACAGTGAAGGAAGCACCGATATAGGTCTGTAATTATTAACATCCTCCCTATTCCCACCCTTGTGCACCGGGGGTAACAATAGCTCGTTTTAATAAACTTGGGAAGACACCTTTCCTAAAGCAACAGTTGGCTAGGTGACAGATGACTGGGACCAGTATATACCGAGCTAGTTTCAAAAAACTAGCTGGAACATGGTCACAACCAGGAGCACTATTTGATTTCAGACTCATTATAATGTCATTTACCTCTTGGTGATCTGTTTCCAATAGGCAAAAAGTTGTGAGTTCGGTCTTATCCACAAGATGAGTTGACAGATCATGAGGGTTATTCACAGCTGAGATACTGCTTGCCAGGTTCTCTCCCACGCCTGCAAAAAAGTCATTGACATAGTCAACTGACTCCTCCGGGGTTTGTTTGGTTGTCAAGAGTTTAAAACTTCCAGTTTTGTCTTGATTCAAATGTGTGATGTTCCTTATGTGTTTCCAAAGAGCTCTTGAATCTTTAGATGAATTTTCTAATTGTTGTCTTTCATAAGAACGCTTAAGTTTCTTTAACAAGTTGGTACAAAAATTGCGATAACGCTTATATGTAATTTTAAGGACTTCATCATGAGGGTTGGAACGTAATTTTTTTTTGCATTTCGTTTCTATTTTTAATACAGCGCAAAGCCCCTGGAGTTATCCAAGCCTTAATAGTCCTTTGGCTCCTTGGGATACGAGTCTTCCGAGAGTTTTCTCTAAGAGATTGTGTGACGTGAGAGATCAGAAGATTAGAAATGATCTCAGGATCATCATATAGCAGCAGATCTTGGATATTTTTGTCTACTATACTCGTGATTGCCATGTCATAGTCAGTGACCAATTTGACTCTCTGAGTTTTATGCTTAGTGTATAAGTTAGAAATATGTAAAAAAGTCATAGAATGATCAGTTATGGTAGTGTCTAGAATAGCAATTTTAGCAGTCAGAATTCGTCTATCCAGTTTAAGCATTATGTGGTCAAGACAACTACCATCCCGCGTTGGTAGACAATGACCCCTCATGATACTGTGATTACTTAGCATGTCAAGATATGCAAGTCTATTATTGCGCATAGTGCTATGTTCATTTAAATCTTGAATTAAGTTTATATTTATGTCGCCAGCTATTATAATGCATCTATGAGATTGGATTAATTCAAGTTGTGTGTTTAGGGAGCTAACAAATCTATCAACATTGACATTCGATGGTGACCTATATATTGTTAATACAGTGTAGTTAGTAGTCTCAATTTGTAAGCAGGAAGAGTCATCTAAAATTATTTCTTTTATATTAGCTGATATGTCATCTTTTATATAAACGATGACTCCATCATTCTGGTTTAAATAGCGAGTACTGTAATACGAAGCATCACTATACTGATACATGAAAATATGTATCAGTATAGTGATACCTTGGAGAATAAAAATTCGTTAACTCAATGTATTTCAGGGGATAATCGTGTTTATTAAATTTCACGATACACGAGTAACCTTTGTCCGATTTCCGTCAACACCAATGAATTCGTTAATTGCAATTTTAAGCTCTGGTCTACATATTCAGTGATGAAGTAAATAGTCATGAAGAAACTATAATGTCTACAATTAAAGTTGTGAAGTCCGCTAATAAAGCAAGAATAAGAGAAATTGATAAGGCTAGTGCCCCTGAGTGGGTTTCATTAAGCCACTTTTATATTATTGCATTATTTAGGATAAAATAAAACTATCACTCTAATGATAATGTAAATTAAATCAATCATTTTATTATATTACACACTTTTATTGAATTTATAAAAATATTACATCAGATATGACTAAAAATTTCCTTTTCTGCATGAGAGTCCGGTAGATTTCATCCAATTCGCTTATTCAATTATCGTATTCAATACTCGTATCTTGACAGATATGTTCTTGATGGTGACCCATGTACAAACACTGCCTTGTTCTGGTTTTAAAAGTAATAGATCCAGTGTTATAATGGGTTGGAAGGTTTTAGAATTTAACCTTAGTTCTCACGAGTGACAACGAAATTTATAGTTTATCTGAAGTTGGTTGAAGCTTGAAGGTGTCAACGGGCTGTAGAATGCAATTATAACAAGATAAATTGTTAGATCGTTGATGTTTTCTATGACCTGAAGTAGCTACTTACTATCATGTGGACTGTAAATTGGTTTGTCTGTTCACTTTAATAAAAAATGGAAGACTATCCTATATTTATAAAAAAAAAACACTTAAAAATCTAACGATTAACAGATTAGATTAATCTTTGTTAACCATAGACTCAAAACACTCATTAATGGCAGTAATGGCGTCGAGTTAACAAAAATGGCGGCACTGCGGTAAATTGGTGCGCACTCCTTCTCCAGAAATTCGTAATCTTCCGTTAGATTTCTTTCTAGCAAAATAGGTCCGAGGGTTGCCAGAACTCGAGCGTGATAGTCGTTAATGTATTTGATCTGGAAACATATTCAATGGATAATATTTTTAAACGAATTCGGGTATATTTTAAGATTTTTGAACGTCAAAATATACAAACGGTTGGAAAGTTAGAGTAATTAAAGTTAGTCTGATTTTCCATCACAGTTCCAGTTGTCTTCAAAGCATTACTTCTTAAACTATTAGTTATAATAGTAACCGTGAAATTTAATCGGTATAAATTATATTCAAAAGAAGTCGCGAGGAACAGCTAGTATTGAATTAAAAAAAAACTATTTCTATTTCTTCACTCTTACGTGTACGAGAAAGGTACCTCGTGATCATCCAGTATGCTGACATCCAAACAAGCAGTCTGATGCGGTGCTAAGGAAATTGTGTAAAAGCCGACCGCGCCGACACCGTTGAAGTCACCCACCATACCCTCAGCCTAGAAAAACGATAGATAGACATTTTACAATAGCGTTACTGGTCTCACAGACATCTACCACCTAGTCATTTATAGCATAGCAAATTGTTTCTTCTTTAACAGTCCATGATAGTAGACTGTTTGCCACATGCCACATGTGCTTCTCCCGTTGCAGGAAGAATTTGCCGTAATAGTACCGCGTGGCAGGGGTTTGACGGTTGTAGTACCACACGTGAACACCTTTGACGATACTGTCCATCGCCAGTCTGGATATTTTACTTTACGATTTTTTTTTATATTAGGGATGGAAAGATACATAATTGTGCCGATACGATACCGATACCGATTATTGTAGTAAATAATCGGCAATACCGATACCATTACCTTTATTGGTGGCCTAGAAGAAATAAAAGAATAATGAATACTTTTCTTTATTATGCATAAAAGTTATCTATATTTATAAGACTGAATCTTGAGAAAGAAAATGTCAAATCAAAGTTTCAATTCATAACTCAAAGAAAACATTTATTTATATGAATAATCAAGAATATTATCAAGCATTCAAAGCGCTAATTAAGAAAGTAATTTCAGTAGCGCTAAGTGGTAAAGTAAACCGATATAAAAGATAACGTCAGTAATTTAAGTTATCTTTTGGTTCGGTTCGGTTCGGTATTGGTATCGGAATCGTTACATCCCTATTTTATACTATTCTAAATCACATACAGATCGGCAAAAATAAATTAATATTTGTAGAGTTCTTTTTAAATAAAATAAGGGTGACAAACGAGCACACAGTCCACCTGATGGTAAGTGGATGCTGTGGCCCATAGACATCTACGTTCATCTTCAATTAATAATCAAAATGCTGATGCGTTGTCAACCCTGAGGACTGAGATGAAATGCCTCGTTTCCAGTAAAAATGGTTTCCGGTTCTCTACACTCATCATACGAAACACAGCAGCAAGCTCCAGAAGGTCACGACATTTTCAACTCCTGTTGTTACGTCCTGTTGGCTCATGACCAAAATGGCGGGACCAAATTAAAGAGTATGTCTTTGTCTATGTCTGCATTATACATTTCAGTATATTTTTGTTATAATTTGTAATGACAAACCTTTTTTTGTAGGTAAGTAACTCGAAACCACTCGAACAATATATGTATTGCTCTCCCGAGCCAGCGTAGGCGTATTCAGGTCGACAATACATGTATTGATCTCCCGAGCTTACAGGCTGCTATTTTAACGCTGGTATTCTGTGAGAGCGTGATCATTCCTCGGTCGAGCCAACCCATTTGTGCTGCAACCACAATATAGCTGCAGAATGGCTCTACCGCATTTTTTTTTCAACCACGTAATTATTTACATTTCTATCTTATATAATTATTTATATTATTTATATTTTTTACACAAAATCATTGTTTTATTGATATAGGTAACAAATAAGTAAACAATTTATTACATTTTTATGTAATTAAAAAAGAAGAAAATAATAATATGTATATTTCATATGTAGGTACGCAGCTGGTTTCTGGAAAACGGTCCCTACGTATGATGTTGTTAGTGTTATGTTACTTTATCTATTTTACGTGTAATGCACGCTTATCCAGAAAATTAAAATTTTTTTCTAACTCCGAGCAAAGTTTGATCACCTATAATATCATACACACATCGTACAGCTTGCAAGGATGATTAGAAGATCCACGTGCGTAAACGCACAAGGACCCCGAGCGAGTTATGGTTGTAGTTTCGCCGTCCGCCGCCGTGCTACAGCACCGCGGTCTCCGTGCGGAACGCGGGGGTGAAATTATACATTTTCCTTGCCTTCCCTTCAATCCCCATAAAATTCCCATGCAGTTGCATGTGCCCGGCAAATCCCGAGTTGAATGCGACCGCACCCACCCGCAGCACTTAAAACCATTAAAACTTATATTTAGAGACTACTTTTCTATGAAGAAGGTTGGCACTATAAAATTCTCTATATAAAAGTCAGGTTTTACTTCATTACAAAAAGACTATTGTATTTTGATAACAAAAAAAAAACATACCAAGCGGATGTTGGCAGCGTCAAAATCACAATTATTTCAATATATATAACTCGAAATTATTTACGTAAAAAGATAAATTTACACAAAAACTTTTATAACAATTTCTTAATAAAACACTAATAAAACACTAGAAACATCCAAAAATCAACACAACAACATCCAAATGAAAATGGCGTACGTAATGAACTTAGAATATAAATTAATATCCATTGGCTAACTGTCTTTTTATTCCACTAGAGGATAGGAAATTTCATATTGATTCTATAATGCCAAACTTCTTCCCAGAAAAGTAGTCTCTAAACATAAGTATTTATGGGTTAAAATGCTGTTGGTGCGTCATATTAGACCTCTTGAATTTTGACGGAATATCGCCGAGGTCAAATTTGGACACTTGGTAGCTAAGAGGTTAATACCCGCCCTTAATCTAGGATTTGTTGTTGTCCAATGCCTGGTATTGCAGCAAGCATTTAATATAAATGAAAAACTTACGAAAATATGATCGGCGTTTCTGTTCATCTCAATAACTTCTACGAGATCCTCGTGTCGGATGCCGTACTCTCCAACTTCGTAGTATCCAGGCTCTGTGAACAAAAATATAATGATCATCCGAAAGTTTTAAAAGATCAAGAAGAAGATGCACAATACTTTTCGTTTTCTATTCTTCGGCCTGGAGAAGTAAAACTTCTAGTGGGTCTTTCCCCTGAGGGTGATTTGCCGTAACTCTCAAGTTTAGCGGTAGTGTTTACGAGCGCCAGGCGTCTCGTTTTGCAGACATAATATATTGATATGAGATGAATGTGATCCGTGTGGGATTTACAACATTCATGGAACGAAATGGGCTGATCTGTTCTGTAAAACCGCCACCATGCGGCTTCTTAATTAATAAACCCCTGCATATTTGTAACTTAACTTTATATAGTTATACTGGATGATTCTGGAAAAATAGGGTGTAACAAGTGAATAGCCTATGGCACTGATATTTCACAAAAAATTAAAACAAAAATTTTGAATTAAATAAATAAATTAATTAAAATCTATGGAAATTCAAATCATATCCCTACTTTACGAAGGGCAATAAAACAATAAATTTAGTAGGCATCTTTGACCTTGTCACTTCTCAGACTCACAGGCTCAAAGGCAAAGGGCAAAGTAACTGTACAAAAAACGTTTCTCAAAATTCAAACGTTTAATTAAAAAATTTTGTTTTTATTTTTTGTAAAATATGTTCTCCGTTTACATGTTACACTCTATTTTTTTCCAGAAGGGAAAAAGGTCATCGAGTATAGTTTAACATTCCAACATGCCCGTGAGGGCATAATTGTATTTTTACAAACCGATTGGATTCGAATATACAGGGTTATTTTTCAAAGAGTATCCAAACTTTATATTTTAGTTTTCCAGTTTTTTAAAATACGAGCATTGACTTATATATTACTAGCGTAAATACGAGTAAATTTAATGAGGTTTCTACTTTTATTTGAAATTGTCCCAAATTAAATGTGATTTATGGGCAACAACTAGGCATGTGTGCGCTCCTGTTTGTGTGCGCTTCAATTCACAAAATTTTTTCCTACATTTTTAGTGACACGATTAATAACTACGCGATGAGAATTATGATTCCAATTTTCTCTTCACACTTTTAACGGGCTTAGGATCGCCGTAATAAATAAAATAAAAATAAATATTTTTGCCTATCAACGACGTAACCGACGGCTGTCATTATGATGGCATATTCAAAAAATTGGAATAAACTATTTACAACTAAATTACGTAAGTAGTCCCAATAACTAATCTTGGTAACTCAAAGTGGAATCCGTTTCTCTCTATGCATAGACGAGCACGTTTCCTTAAATTATTTTTTACACTTGTTACCTGTGCTTCGTGAATGCAGCAATAAATTTGCTGCAGCGGTCTTCATATCTTTGGGCCTCCTTGACGTAAACACGATTCTTTATTGCACCTCACTGACACAGATAAAAGTCTGAGACCCCGCAGTGAAAGGTCCATCAAGTTTTCAGGTGTATTATAGCGTCTTTAAAAACATAAAATAAGGGTAACAAACGAGCACACAGTCCACCTGATGGTAAGTGGATGCTTTGGCCCATAGACATCTACATTTAACCTCAATAAAGAATCGAAATGCAAATATTTTGTCACCCCTGAGGACTGAGATGGAATGCCTCGATTCCAGTAAAATGGTTCTCTCAACTTACCATATGAAGCACAGTAGCATTAAGCTGCTATTTTACGCTGGTATTCTGTGAGAGCGTAGTACTTTCCCGGTCAAGCCGACCCATTCGTGCTACAACCATAATATAACTGTAGCGTGGCTCTACCACGTAATAAATGCCTCCATAGGCAATCCACCCATCGTCATATTTCACTGTTTAAATTATCGTTCATTGGACTTGAATAGTTTGGTTAACTGTCTATTGTTCTTCGATTGGTAGGTACACGTATAGTTACACATTCGTATAATCTTTGCGCACCACTTAAACATTCATTAACATTGAAAATGTATCACCTCGCACCTCGCCATTTCATCATTGTATAGTATTTGCGGTTCGAATATTTTCGTTCCGTCATTGGTAGCGAAGCGACACTACCTACGAATATTTAAAAATTGCCCACTCGTACGTAATGAGGTTACGATCAACACTGCCCTATATAGTATATTATAGGATAACACACCATCCATCCACCATCCATGCCGGATGTACGGTTTACACAGCGCTTAATTCACAAAGCACTCCTCTCCATGGACGTCAACAAGACGAGTGAGCTTAATGGAGCCCCTCCCATTATGCTGAAGACGTGTGCTCCGGAGTTGGCACCGGTTACCAAATACAAAAGACGTGTTAACGTCTTTTCCGCTACTCCTACTCCCAAGGCGTAGTCTCGAATTCATGCAAAATAGCTTTGGTCCACCCGGTCCCTTAAAATGGCGACCGTTCAGACCCGTCCAACTACAGGCTTATCGCTATCACCTCCTTGTTCTCCAAAATAATGGAAACCATTATAAACTACCAGCTCATGAGGTACCTTGAAGATCACCAGCTAAACCAGCATACAATTTTCGTCGGGGTTGATCAGCTGATGGTCTTCTGTTCTACCTGACTCATAGATGGGTCGACGCAGTAGAGTTTAAGTAGGAGGCATTAGCCGTTAGTTTGGACGTAGCGAAGGCCTTCGATCGGGTTTGGTACAAAGCACTTCTTTCGAAGCTCCCTTTCTATGGGCTTCCCGTGAAATTGTGAATATGGATCACCAGTTTCCTTGCTGATCGGAGCATCAAGGTCATAGTAGACGGTGCATGCTCTAATTACAAGCCTATTAACGCTGATATTGCACAAGACTGCGTGCAACATCAGCGTTAATTCACAGGCACTGCTAAAGGATGTTTCTTCCGCTTAACAATGATATGTTGCAAACTGGTAACATTCATTGCTATGCGGACGATAGCATTGGTGATGTTTTATACACCGGCCGTACCAATATTTCTCGAGAAAACGTCGCCGAACACCGGAACAAACCTGTGTCTGAAGTCTACGCTTTGTTGTACAACGTATCAGATGGGGGGTGACTAAATCTAGTCCAGTTCAATCCTCAGTAGACATAAGTTTGCGCTTTCACCGCTAATAACAACCCCTTTGTTGTATCTTCTTAGTTTCAAAGCACTCACCTTACTACCTCATCTAGCATCGGAATCCTCGATGTATCGGTGTGAAAATTATGCAGTTTCGTGGCCACTTGGAAGGCTAAATTGGCCTCCAAAAACTTGGCGTGCTCAGCAGAGCAGAACAGTATTTCATGTCGGTACACCGCTTGCACACGGAACACTGTGCTCATCTCTGGGCTGGGGTACCCCAGTGCCAGCTCTTTCCACTTAACCGCATCCAGCGCAGAGCGGCTCGAATCGTTGACGACCGAGTTTTTTCTGTTGGGCTTGATTCACAGGCACTGCTAAAGAATGTTGCATCCCTTTGTATTTTCTATCGCATCTACCACGTGGGATGCTCAGAGAAATTGTTTGGATTAATTTTGGATTTTTTCTGTTTGGATGATTGGCGGTCCACCCCTGTGCGTTTCACTAGGAGTTTTCTTCCTCGTACAACCTCTCTGTGGAATTGTTTACCACCGGCAATTTTACCGAACTGAAACGACTAAAGCAAGAAAAGAGCTTACTCATTTCTAATAGGCCGGCAACGCGCATGTAATTCCCCTGGTGTTGCAGTTGTTAAAGAGTGCTAATTTGCCACCTCTTCTAAAAAAAAAAAATCTATGATCGGCCGGCCGTAGATGCTTAGCGGTGTAACGGTTAACGGAAGGGAAGGGCGTGGGAAGACACACTACAAGGTACCTAAATTTGTAACCGAGCGACTCTTACGAAAACATGCGTAAATTAGTAGGCGTTAGATATTTATGAATGACAATCAGTTAAAATAATGCATTACCACGAGTTCCGAATTAAAAAGATGACAAGTGGTACAAAAATGTTGTACAACCGACTTCAATATAAATAAAATGAGAACATCATCAACGTATTCGATGTCAATTAATACGCATTATTAAAGATAGCTCAAAAACTAACGGTCTTGATCTAATTTTATTAGATCTTGATTAAATTTATATGCAACCACACGAGAAGCACCAGTTTTCAGATAAAAAAAAATCGTTAAAACTGGTTCACCCAGAGAAAATTATGAGGTATAACACACATAAAAAAACACAGTTGTATTAAACACCTCCCCCTTTTTGAAGTCGGTAAAAAGAACAAAATGTTTAAGATTCTTTTACTACAGTACAGGTACTCAACCTAGTTCAGGCAGGTAGCTAATATTATAAACTTGACTTTTTTATTTTTCTTTTGTATATTCTACATTATAAGCTCACAAAGTTTTATCATAGTATGTTATTTTTGTTAGACTTATTTTATTTTATTTAATTGTAATCATATTTATTCTTATGTAAACATGTGTATGGTGTTTTATTATTATTATTTATTTTTTATTCCGCTTTTCTTATTCTCATATTACCCTATACCTATATCACCTTCTCCACTAATTTGGGCATACATTACAAAATAACCCTGTATAGCTTGTGTTAAATTTGTTGTAAATTCGTATGTAAATTCGAATGTAAATTCACTTGATGGTAAGTGACTTCTGCATCCTATGAACTCCAGCAACCATCATCAAGCAAAGAAGACTATAGGTCATTTCTGAGGACTGAGATATAATGTCTCAGCTTGTAATTTTATTGACTGTAATTTTACACCCCTCAGATCTGAACGAGCCAAACAGTGAGTGCCTGCTGTGTTTCAAATTACTTGTTGCTTACTTGGTTTGCTGACTTATACTTACCATTACTGAATATCATTCCTGGCGCTATACCAGGATCTGATGCTATCAAAGCTGCCCAGATACCCGACGGTCCTTCGTGAACATTGAGGAAGTGCCCCACGCCGTGTCCTGTTCCGTGAGCGTAGTTGAGCCCGACGTCCCAAAGAGCCTTACGAGCTAATGTATCCAATAAGTTACCCTGTAGCAATACAAACGTGTGAAGATGCAGTCAAAGTAAAAAAAAAAACATGTGCGCAGTTCATACGCGGTAGAAGAAAAACCTACAGAACATTACGAGTAAAATTGATTTTTTAATTTACTTCATTCTAGGTAAAGGTAAAGTTTTTTAATTCTTCATATAAGAAAAGTTCAAGGTGATACGTTAAATAGACGAACGGACTAGATTTAAACAGATTAGAAACAGATTAGATTTAAATTATCAGAAAACTAGTTTTATTTAAATGTGTAGTGTACGGGTAAATATAAGAAAACAAAAATGATTCTATTCTATTCTTATACTTGATATTTTTGTGTCTTACCGTAGTACCTTTCGGGAACACGGCGGTCCCTAATAGTATTTGTCCTTTCAGCACTCTTGTGAAGGCACGTCGCTGCTCCGAGGTGGGCGATGAGCTCATGTGTCGAGTTCTGGTGATGTCTGTGGTACCGTCCCTGTTTAAGATTAGTTTTAATTAATTTATTATGACTTTTTTAAATAAAGCTCAAGTGACAAATGAATTTACAGTCCGTGTGATGAATTTACAATTGGCTACTCAGACTTGGAACAAATATGAAACGACCAAGAATACAGTTGCATTGTTACCTCTGAGAGCTTACGAGTAATAAGTCAAAGCTGAGTATATTGTCTTAGTTACATGCTGAGTATAATGTCTCATAGCCGGTATTTATGCTGCCTCTTAATATCTTTTAGATACACGCAACACACTTATTTTTTATCGTAGAGAAATCCTCATGGATACCTTCTGCTGCGGGGGCAACAGAAAGGTTATGCCGGACTCCTACCGGCCAAAACCCCTCGATGGTCATCATCAACGAATATATCTACGTTCGGAAGGCAACCGGGGCCCCTCTCTCGCTTTGCTTTATTAAAGCACGTCACGAGAGCAGTGTTACTGATCCCAGGACCCTCGCAGTGCTATCACTGTGCACAAAACCACCTCCGAGTTATCGTCCTCCTCCCACGCTCCTTACCCAGATGAACTTCTTGACAGAAAACGGTTTTACCGTCCAGAAACTGCCAGCAAAAAACCATCTGCTTTTTTTTTTTTTTCCCCCTTTTTTTTTTTTGGGGGGGGGAATTTTTAATTAAAAATTTAAAAATTTTTTTTTTTTGTGTGCTCCAGAATACAATACCACGACCGGCGACGGGCAGCATTGTCAAAGGTGTTCACGTTGGATTTCCCATCTGCTTTAACTGTCACAATGGTACAATGAATTTAGCGGACCGAAAAAATGACCGAAGAGTCAGTAGTACCAGGAGGTCTACTTATACTGAACGTTTTTAAAGGTCATTCACATTATACGCGAAAAAATCGAAAACTGTGAAGCTGTGGTCGGGTCACTAATCAAATAATAAATCTGTAACTACGGTGTCAGTAACTAGGTACCTAAGTAACTAGATCTACATAAAAATAGTTATATCTTATCTTAGAAACACTAAAGAATGAAAAGTCGACCTTCCTATTGTTATTTAAGCACCCGTATGCTATGCAGTACTTTTTGGCTTTTTAAGTGGCTATACTTGAATAAAAACTCAAACATTAATATCAAAAGTGCCTAAATACTTATTAAGAGAAAACTCCTTTTTTATTAACATAAGGCACGCGTAAACTCGAGCGTGTGAGTGACAACCTCGCCGAATTAGCCCCATGCAAGGGTCCGCGCAGTGTAGGTGTGTTTTCATGCCTAAAGCGTGGAGGCCTGTTATAGTTAATAATTCTTTTATATTCCTTGTAGCCGCCTTTGTAGCTTTATCACTGCCTAAGATTGATTGGCAGAGAATGCTTGTAGCATTAAAACTGTTTTTCGTTCACTAATGTTTAAAATAAATAAATAAATAACTTACATATATTGAGCTCCTGAGTCAACTAGCAATATTTCATCGGGTTTGATCACCCTCTGTTCACCTTCTCGCGAGGGTTTGTAATGGATGACGGCTCCATTTTCTCCGGCACCAGCAATCGTTGCAAATGATGGCCCCATGAAATATTGTTCTTCTCTGTAATAAACGTTACTTTTATAATTTAATTATTATAATTATGCGCGTTTATAGGATCGATCTCACTTAAACGGCCACATTGTTGAGGAATTTTTTATTCAGAATTTTTTCAGGATCATCAATCACTAGCTGTGAATGTGGTGGCTACACGTACATCTATATGATGTTGTGGGCGTGGAAAGAAAAGGTGTAGATCTCCCGCCGGGCAAGGTGTTCTGCCCGGGGAGCGTCCAACGCTCCGAGTGATAGTTCGGGGCTATTCTATATGTACTGTTTTTAATTCGAACTTCGATAGCGCGATTTAGATTTCGATGTGCTTCGCTTGTGGCGCGACGAGCGCCGCCATAATGTGGTAGAGCAACGCTGCAAATGTATTACGGCTGCAGCACGAATTGGGCGGCTCGACCTGGGAACACCCTCTCACAGAATACAAGCGTGAAATAGCAGCTTAATACTGCTACGTTTCGTATGGTGATTGTAGAGAACCGGAGACCCTTTTAACTGGTATCAAGGCATTCAATCTTACTCCGCAGGGGTCACTATGCATCTGCAGTTTGTTTCTTAATCGAGTATAGATGTAAGTAAAGTAAAGTAGTTACAGCCTATATAAGTCCCACTGCTGGGCACAGGCCTCCCCTCATTTCTGAGAGGGTTTTAGGGCAAAGAAGTGTCCGTCGCGCTGCCCTAATGCGTGTTGGCGAACTTCACATGTGTTCGAAATAATTTTTTTTTCTTATTCCTCAGACATGCAGGTTTCCTCACGATGTTTTCCTTCACCGCCGAGCACGTGGTAAATCAGCACTTAAAATTGCAATTAACAATTTCATTGGTGCCGGCGAGGATCGAACCCGGGTTACTCGCGTTCTGTTATATTTACAGCGAGCGTTAACCATCTGAGCTACCACGGCTCTAAAGTATAGATGTACTTGTTACTTAATCGCCAACCAAAAAACTTACCATCAACTGGATAAGTGTACTCATTTGTCACCCTTATTCTATAAAATAAAAACACCAATCAATTGTAATACACACCCTCTCAGCTCTTCTAGTTTGTCGGATACATTGATTTCGGTCACGTTCTCCCCAGCAGCAACTCTTTCATGGACCCACCGAAGGAATCTCACAACTGCTATACCATCTTTTATGTGAGCGGAACGGAAGCCCTGGGTGTTAACATTGTATTACTTCAAATTTGGTTGAAAATGTGATCTCTGAATCATCCGACTCCATGGTGTCTAGCAATGAGTTCGAATCTCGCACGGGACAAGTATTTGTATGGACTAAAAATTATTGTTCTCGGTCTGGATGTTTATTCTTGTGTGCAATTTATGTTTATAAACTGCCTCAACGATACAGGAGAAAATCCTAGAATAGTGGTTACGTTCATCATGAAGTTGTCTTAAAAAAACTAATAATCTCTTTGCATGATATATTTATTATATTAAACGATGAAAGTTTGACTTTGGTATTGTTAGCCGTGCGTATGTGCATTGTGTTAGTGTGCGGTAGACCTCGCGAGCGCTCAGTCACGATCGCGAGTCGAACAAATCGCAGTTACATACACAAACGCACCTGTCGGTCATGTCACTACTACAATCAAGGCGAAACCTTCATCGTGAAATAAAATAACTTTACAAGTGTTTAATTTCATATAAGTAAAGGGTCGGTCTAAGAGAACCAGCTACCGTATAACATTCCGTGGATGTCGTAAGAGACGATAGAGGAAAATTTTAAAAGAAGAGGGGCAGCAGTTCTTTTCTGATAATAATTAATAATTAAAATCTGTCGTTGCCAGTTGTCCGCCAAGCGTGGCAACCATGGCAAATTTTCTCCTCATGAGGCATTCTATGGGGGAGGCCTGTTTTTGGGGAGGACATTTGATAGACTATTATGAATGAGTGAAAAGCCTTGCTGCAGCTATACTAGTAAGGAAGGGAAGGACCAGTACCGTCTTTACCAAAAGGGCACACGGGGCCCGTGCCCAGGGCCCCCATCATCAAGGGGCCCCCGTGACTAAAGGCATCGGCCTTATTCGCATACGCTATACATTTTTTTCTTTTATTTTATTATTTTATCAGAAGCAGAAGTGAAAACTTAAATATTAACGTTGTGCATTTTTGATATTTTGGAATGGTTAGGGAATAACTTTGCACGAATTGCTTTAATTATCATCTTTTTTTTTTTTTGCGTATCGTACACACATGACAATTATTACATTCGCGCAAGCGCCCTGCGCCGCCTAAACGAAACAGCAGGCGCAGGCATACATTTTCGCCGCGCCGTAGAAAGAGAGGGGGATACTTCCTCTCCTACACCGTCCATCTTACGAATTTTCGATAAGGTCACGTGTCCTGACGCGAGTTTAACATTTTTTACCCATTACAAAAAAGTGTACAACGCCGCTAAAGAAGTTTTCACTTCAATAAAAATTTTTCTAGATGAAACGATTTTGATGATTCTAAGCAGATGCTTCTCATGTGGTCCCATATAAATCTGATCAATATCAGACATTGATGATGTTCTCATTTTATTTATGTTGAAATCGGTTGTAAAAAAATTTAATTTTACAACTTGTATATAAATAATTTTACTATTAAATTTAAATACCGACCACTGGTAAAGGTGATTGAAACTACTCTTAATCTATAAACAGACAGTGTATTTGGGTAAAAATCTACGAAAATAGTTAGATATTCAACTTTTGTAAGTAGTTAATCAGTACATATTCGAATTAGAGTATACATAAGCAAGATCTACGGTACTCGATTCTGATTCGAAATGTATAAATAAATACAAATTTCGAATCAGAATCGAGTACATACTAAAAACTCCTGTACTGTGTATGTACGTTGACGAAATAGGTTAGCTTATACTTTACTAAAAAAATATTTCAAAGTTAACATGTAAAGTTCGCCAACACGCATTGGGGCAGCGCAGCGAACATTTCCTTGCCCTAAAACCTTCTCGGAAATGAGGGTAGGCCTGGCCTGGATGCCCAACAGTGGGACGTATATATACTGTAACTTAACTATTTTACTTTACTTTGGCTGTATTAAGGATACAAAAAATAGGTTTACCCGAAGCTCGACTTCATTTTTGATGCATTTCATTAGCGCTACAGGGGATACTGTGGACAGTGTGTTCATTGCACCATCCTGGGAGAAAAAGAAGACAATAATTATTCTGCAAGAAAAAAGAAATACTTAGTAGTAATTTTAATATTAGCGCGTATGGTCTCTATATGCCGACAAAGCTTTTAAATACCAAAAAAAATATTCTGTTACATTATGGTTGCAGCACGAATGGGTCGGCTCGACCGGGGAAGAAACACGCTCTCACGGAATACCAGCTTAAAATAGCAGCTTAATACAGCTGTGTTTCGTATGGTGTGTGTAGAAATCTGAAGACCCTTTCTTACTGGAAACGAGGCATTCCATCTTAGTACTGAAGGGTGACAACGCATCTGCGTTTTGATTCTTAATCGAGGTCAAATATAGATATCTATGGGAATAGATTTATGTGAACTATGTGCTCGTTTGTCACCCTTATTCTATTTAAAAAAAACCAGCGGCATTACATCTTGTCCTCAAAGGTGACCACACATCTTATGGTCTTCTCTGTTTGAAGTTTGTTGGAAGTGACGTTCGTCACTTCAGTTCCATAAAAGAAATAAACGTAACGAATGTTCGTCTGTTATTCGGACTATTCGGCTACTTTTAGCCTATTGTGTCCAATACCGAATATTTAAGTAAGAGATTTTATTGTAGTCAGATAATTGGTAAAATGAAAATATTTATTTAGTTTAGATTTTTTTCTTGTTACTATTAAAATAGTTATATGTACCTAATCAACTTCCATTATGAAAATATAAAAGAATTATCAGATAACATTTATCTCTATGCACTCGAATTATCGTAGATAATAGTGCCGAAAGACTAACGTTTCTTCATTTTCAGGCAATAGCTTACTCCTTTTCTTCTCGTAGACAATCCCAGCTTCAGAGGATAGACTCTCTAAATAATAAACACTACTTCCTTCCCTTCGGAATACTTTTGCCTTATATTCAGTTATCCGGCCTGCAAATCTGCAGAATATTCGGCATTTTGCATGTGACCGAATATAGCATTTGTTGCAAGTCTTAAATAAACACATAACATAAAATAGTAATAACAGCCTAACTCTACCGAGCCTAAGTCATGCAAAGGAAATCTTTAAACACAAAAAACGTATTTACCGACTCAGCAGCAAGATGCACGGCATGGCTTCCGTCCTGCGATAGCCAAATTGTACTTCCTCTTGCCAACTCATTCTAAAAAACAAATCCAAAAGTTAAAATAGTAATTACAAAACCTAGACTGCCTAAAATATAATAATGACAAGATGTACAGCATTTTATTTCACTTCCCAGAGGTGATAAATTGACCAACGCCTCTGCGACTTTATTCGTTTTCAGTTTGTTGCTGGTGTTCTTGGGTCGCAGAAGCCACTTACCATCTGGTGGACTGTACGCTCGTTTGTCACCCTTACTTCTATAAAATAATACATTAAGCCACTAGGGAGGAAAGTATGACATTGAAAATCGAGTGGTATTGTCACCCAAGTCGAAGCAGAGGGTTTTTTTTATCATACCTTGATCGAAATGAATGTACCTTAAATGTATTATCCCTGAAAGGTACGAAAGTGCCACATTGCCTCGTAATATATATATATATATATATATATATATGTGTGTGTGTGTAGGCGGGTCATAAGTTCTGTCAAAGCCTTTATTTAAACATTTTCAATACTGGCTAGATGAACTTCTCAAATTTTAAAAATATAACGTTTGCGCTTGTCGAAAATAAAAAAAACATTAATCTTCATTCATTTTCAAATATGGAGTGGTCGAAGAAAGAAGATAAAGTAACGGTTATCACGTTGTACTGCTTTGGTTACGCGCCAAAAGAGATTTTCAATATTCTACAAAAATTGAAAATAACCCTACGATTTGTTTATCGCAATATCAAACGATTCACTGAAGATTCAAGCTTCGAAGATGGTAAGAGGACCGCGTGACCTCGTACAGTTAGGATACCCGCGATCATCAAAGCAGTGAAGGCGCAAATCCAAAGAAATCTTGTTCGTAAACAAAAAATCTTAGCTCTTCACATGGGTCTAAGCAGAACTACGTTTAAAAGAGTGATCAATGAAGATCGAAGACTACGAGCTTATCGTAAGAAGACCGAACATTTTTTGAACGAGCGTTTGAAAAAAATTAGGCTGGATAGATCCCGCGCTCTGTTACGGCGGTACGCGGGAACAAAATACCACGAAATTTTGTTTTCGGATGAAAAAGTTTTCAACATCGAAGAAAGTTATAAAAAACAAAATGATAAGGTGGATGCCCACAGCAGTGAAGAAGCCATCACGCGTATTCCAAGGGTTCAACGAGCACATTATCCTTTGTCACTCATGGTTTGGCTTGGAGTCTCATATTTTTATTCTGTAGTTTCATAGGCTTAACTGGTGCTTTTCAGTAAAAATGGTGTAAAAAGCAATGCCGAGGTGTACCAAAATATCGTCCACCTCTTTCTCAAACAATCTTCAAAAAGAAATATTGGATATTCCAACAGGACTCTGCACCAACTCATAGGGCATGAAGCACGCAAAACTGGTTGACCGCCCATGGAATTGTCTTTATCGGACATGAAGACTGGACTGGCTTCTAGCCCAGATTTAAGCCCACTGGATTATAAGATATGGCAATACTTGGAGGAGAAAGTCTGCGCTAAACCTCATCATAATTTGGAATCTCTCCGAGCATCTTTGGCCAAAACAGCGGCAGAAATAGATATTATGAGAGTGTTGCGTGCTGCGATTGATGATTGGCCGCGTCGATTAAGCGCGTGTATTCAAAGTAGGGAAGGGCGTTTTGAATAATGTAAATACAATTGTATTGTAAATTAATATACATATTAATTTTCTACGAATATTTAAATTTATTATCGGCTTCCTTCCATAACTTGTTTCAGGAAATTCACCCAAAAATTCACAAAACATGAACTTTAAAATGAATTTACAATTTTATTCACTTTGAACGTAGAATATTTATTGTATTGAACAAAATATTAATTCATAAAAATGTTCACAACGAATTAAAATTACGAAGAATAACTGGCTATGAGAGAAAGGCGCGCGCGCTGCTCTCTCTCTTGCTTATATCCTCCACTCAACTCCCGTTCGCCTCTGCCGATCACACTTTTCGTAACGCTTTCGCCACGCGTTCGACAGCTTACTCCCCAAGTCAAGCGTGCGTAAAGAAGTTTTACTTCAAAAAGTAATTACCTAAGGTCCGAGTAATAAACTACAATAGTGTCACGTGTCGTATTATAGATGGTGGAGTGTCTTTCCCAGTGTATTGGTACTGGGATTAGTGGTGACCGGGAGAGCTTTTTACATATTATAAGCCAGTGCTTGACTGCAATCCCACCTGGTGGTAAGTGGTGATGAAGCCCTGGAAGGTTCTAAATCGTACTGCCTTAGCGTAACAAAAGCCTATTTACTCTTGCCTTGATGACGCCCATATTATAGCACAGAATAAATAATATAAATTATAACGGCAATAGTTTTTTATTATAATATAAGTGTGGCAGATGAGCACACAGCCCACCTGATAGTAAGTAGTTCCTGTAGTCCATAGACATCTACATCTATCCTCGATTACGAATCAAAATGCAAATGCGTGGTCACCCGTGAGGACTAAGATGGAATGCCTCGTTTCCAGTAAAAAGGATCTCCGGTTCTCTATACTCACCACACGAAACACAGCAGCATTAAGCTACTATGCTTGCGTGCGGCGAGACTTACGCAACTTTAATACTGCTCGTATTACAGAAGTGATCGAGCGGAACCAGGGCTCCAAAGTCTCTGCCAGAAAGAGCCAACTGTCAAAGATGAAGACTGAGTGGGGCAGCATCGTTTCCGGGACACCTGAGATTTTGAGTGAGATTGAGAGGTTCTATGGGCAGCTGTACACATCATCGTTGGAGCCACACGCAAGTGTGAGTAACGATCCAAGAGCAAGTCTTATCCGACACTATTCCGATGATATCCCGGACGTCAGTCTGAGCGAGATTAGAATGGCTCTCCAGCACCTTAAAAACGGCAAGGCCCCGGGCGAGGATGGAATTACAGCGGAGCTTCTGAAAGCGGGTGGAACGCCGGTACTTGAAGTCCTTCAGAAGCTCTTCAATTCCGTCCTCCATGGTGGCACTACTCCGGAGGCGTGGAGCAGAAGTGCGGTGGTCTTGTTCTTTAAGAAAGGCGACAACGCTCTCTTAAAGAACTACAGACCGATTTCCCTTCTGAGCCGCGTCTACGTGCTGTTTTCGAGAGTCATTACGAATCGTCTCGCACGCAGACTCGACGACTTCCAGCCTCCCGATCAAGCCGGTTTCCGAAAAGGCTTCAGTACCATAGACCACATACATACCCTGCGGCAAATTATACAGAAGACCGAAGAGTACAATCTGCCACTTTGCCTGGCGTATGTGGACTATGAGAAAGCCTTTGATTCCGTCGCAATTTGGGCGGTGATACAGTCCCTTCAGCGGTGCCAAGTTGACTGTCGGTATATCGAAGTGCTGAAGTGTTTGTACAGTAGGGCTACGATGGCTATCCGAGTACAAAACCAGATATAGATAGAAACCTATCCAACTGCAGAGAGGTGTAAGACAGGGTGACGTTATATCCCCGAAACTCTTCACCGCTGCATTGGAAGACGTTTTCAAGCTACTAGACTGGAAAGGATACGGTATTAACATCAATGGCGAGTACATCACTCACCTTCGATTTGCCGACGATTTAGTCCTTATGGCGGAATCGCTGGAGGACCTTAGTACTATGCTCAATGACCTCAATGGTGTCTCCCAACGGATAGGTCTTAAGATGAACATGGACAAAACAAAGATCATGTTTAATGTCCATGTCACACTTATGCCGGTAGTTGTTGGGAACACTATGCTCGAAGTTGTTGACGAGTACGTTTACCTGGGACAAATAGTCCGACTAGGTAAGTCCAACTTCGACCGAGAGGTCAATCGACGGATTCAACTGGGCTGGGCAGCGTTCGGGAAATTACGACACATCTTCTCGTCAGGTATACCTCAATCTCTGAAAACTAAAGTGTATAACCAGTGCGTATTGCCAGTGATGACTTACGGATCAGAGACGTGGTACTTCACTGCTGGCCGTATGAGGACGCTCAAGGTCGCTCAGCGAGCTATGGAGAGAGCTATGCTCAAACTAGGTGAAACACATCATTTTATTGCATTACGCGGATAAATTACGCAAATAAATTTTTAAAACCTTTTCTGTAAAAAAATAATTTCTGTGATAGTTTTTTCGCCATTTGTAATTTGCAATATTTGAAAAGTCCAGGTTTCTTTGATAGACAATTTACATGATAACTGCACTCACCGCCATGTTTCCTAGATAATCAAAAATTTGCTCGTAGGGCCGCACATCCACTTGGGTTCCCTCAGAAGTCAAATGTTGTAAGATGTCCTCTGAAAGTGTTCCATTTCCCCAGAATAAAACTATGTTGTTAGAATTTGTAGCATTCTGGAAAAATATAAAAAAAATACTTAATTATCGGGCGTTTTACGGTTTTTAACCGACCTCAAAACCGGTAGGTTTCTCAATTCGAACTCTTATATTATTTTTTATTTATCCCTTTACAACCGGAGATTTTTTTTTCAGATTCTAACCATAAAACTTTTATTTTGCCTTCCTACTAGGTATATAGAGCTCAAAAAAATCAGTTAAAAAAATCTCGAGGTCATAGCTTACCCACAAATCCACCCGCACGATCGTGAGCCGCAGGTCGTACACGACATAGTCACGATCGTGAGGGTAATTTAAACTAGCCCTATGTTTTGGTACTTTAAAGAATAATTAAAAAAGCTTATACTTAATCATCCTCTTTATTAATTATTTAGTTATTTTAATCATTCAGTCTCATATAATTTTTTTTAGAACTAAACATTAATTCGTGCCTTTGGCAACATGATACAAAATTTTCTGTAAAATATATACAAAACAAAACAAACTTTTAAAGTTGTACGCTACAATAAAAAATAATTTTAATTAATGCTTCTAAAGCAAATCAGGAACTATCAGATCATCCTCTGGTATGGTAAGACTTGAAACAGTCTTTGCCACGTGCGATACACAAATACGTGTCGCATTTTGTGCAGCGTACCTTTGTGCGACTGGTACAATTTTCGTACCTGCAAATTCTAGGTGCTTTTATTTCGTCGAACACTGGAAAATGTTCGTATCCATCATACCGCTTTGATTCAGACGGCTTGTTTGCTGGTCTGTACTGTCTTTTCGGAAGAGGATATTCATTTTCATCCAGCGGCGGTTTATTTTCAATATTGCTCGTCGATGGCCGGTTTCTTGCCGGCAAACTTGACAATCCATCAGCAATGTTCATGCGGAAGTCTAACAAGGGCAAAATTTCCCTCCTGCTTAATTTATTTGCCATACAATCATTACGATACAGTCGCCAAGAATTGACAATTGCCAAGTCAAGAAAGTGTATCAGTACTTTCAGTGTCCATTTCTTTGTTTTGATGAATGTCCGATAATACTCCATCTGCTGGTCCAGAACATCAACACCCCCCATGTGTTGGTTGTAATGCTCGACTACTTTTGGGACAGGTATGTCTACGTACATCTTCAAGTGTTTTTCCCATCTCTTGACGATTGAAGATGAGGACGAGCCGGTGCAGTTTGACGCCATTAGAACGGACTTATTGTCTTTCCATTTGACGACGACAGTCGGTCCGCAAACGTACTGCTGTGATTCTCCGCGAGCCATTCTAGCATCTGGTTTAAATTTAATCGCAGTACGGTCAGGGATCCTGTTGAACATGATTGTTCCCGTACTGTGAAGATTCCTCTTTGTCATCTCTTCAATTAGCGGAACTGTCGTAAAATATCTGTCGTGGTAGACACAGCTTCCAGGTGGTACACTTTTCACCAGATGCAGAACCACAGAAGCTCCAAGTCCAAGAGATGTATCTGCAAACATGGTTTTAGCTCCTCGATATATGTCGAAGTCTAGCATCAAGCCTTCACTTGTGGTCAGCACAAAGTTCTTCAAACCCACCGGGCGCGGCTTATTTCGGACTACCTGGCGAAGTACACATCTGCCAGTAAATGGAACCATTTGCTCGTCAATGGAGTAGAAGCCAGGTACTCTTTCAAGTTTGTTACAGGCTAATTTTAACCGGTCAATCATCGGCTGTACTTTCCACAGTGGATTGTTACTATTACTTGGCGGAGCTTCATCAGCATCTACGATGTGCAATGCATTGCGGACAGTCAAGAACCTGTCACGAGCCATTGTTGAGTTATTATATCCAGTTTTATTCCACCTTTCCAATACATCGGGACACGGGGGTAGGGAATACATCCAATGATGATGTGTATTGAAAAAACTCTGGCTACTTCAACTGTTGTAAGTTTCAGTTCCAGGCCCGTTTTTCTGTGATGGTACATGTTTGTGCATCTGGCAATTTCATCAAAAAACTCTCTGTTGAAATAGTCGGAGAAATACTCCATTGGAGTCCTGACCGGAGTAACGGGCAAGGGAGCATAGTCATGACTACAATCGTCGAAAGGTACCTGCTTCCAAAGTCTCTTTCGAGAAGGTGGTCGTAAAGATCGAGGGCGCGGAGTTAGTTGTGATGGTCCAGGAGTATCTTGCATCGGTTCCGGCTCCGGTGCTACAGACGGCTGTGGTTCAGGCTCTGGATCATCCAACTGAAGATTTTCGAAAGTGCTGGGTTGGATTTCGTCGTCGTCGTCCTCAAAATCTTCGATGTCGGAGAAGTTTCCATCACCCAGCAATTGTATAACTTGATCTTCGTTCAAACTTCTGCCTAAAACGTTAAAAAAAGTAACTATTAATTACAAAATCTATGTAAAAACAATCATCAAGTACAGTACCCACTCCCGAATAATGTTTCGGTAGTACAACCGGAGCCGCACGATCGTAGCGGTCGTACTTTATAACGTAATTCTAACGAAACCGTAAAGGTCAGCACAAAATCAAAATAATCTAGGTATTGGATTATCTTTTAACTTTAAAATAATTATAAACCACAATCAAATACTTTCAAATTACTATTAAAAATAAGTACTTACCCGCGGCGCAGCGAGGATCGAAAAACGCAGCCATCTTTCATCTCAGCTCACAGGTGACTGACTGCTCCCATCCCACCCGTATCTATTTTCCGCGCGTAAAATACATCTCGCGAACGATCGACGCCGGTTGCGTTCGGAAAAAGTAAACCGTTTGGTGCCAGTATTTTTTTGAATTTAAACTCACGCTCGTATCAGTCCGAGTGTAAAGGGTTATGTTCGGGCACAATTCCGTCATATATATTTCGTTTATTCAAAAGAAGTTTATTCCGTAATAGTCCCATTTAAATTTCGTAGAAATCTGATGATGAGTTTCGGAGACTAAACGGAATTGTTCAATAAAACCAGCAATGCATCGCGATTGCTGCTATCGCATATCTATGTATTATTTACGCAATCACACTACATAACATCACGCCTGTATCCCCTAAAGGGGTACGCAGCTGTTCAATATACCACAGTACACACTTGTAACTTACTTATTATATGTATTATTAATAAAAATAATTAGCTAAATTTATACGTGGTAGAGCCATGCTGCAGTTATATTAGTAGTATAGTTGTAGCATGAATGGGTCGGCTCGACCGGGGAAGGACCACGCTCTCACAGAATACCAGCGTGAAATAGTAGCTTAATGCTGCTGTATTTCGTATGGTGAGTGTAGAGAACCGGAGACCCTTTTTACTGGAAACGAGGCATTCCATCTTAGTCCTCACGGGTGACAACGCATCTGCATTTTGATTCGTAATCGAGGATAGATGTAGATGTCTATGGGCCACAGCAACCACTTACCACCAGGTGGACTGTGTGCTAGTTTGTCACCCTATCCCATAAAAAAAAAAAAAAAAATGGGGTGTAATAATAAAATGGTGTAACTTGCAACGAGCGCTTGAACCTAAGTATTTTTTTATAGAATAAGGATAACAAATGAGCACACAATCCACCCGATGTTAAGTGGATGCTGTGGTCCATAGACATCTATATTTATCCTCGATTACGAATCGAAATGCAGATGCGTTCTCACCCGTGAGGACTAAGATGGAATGCCTCGTTTCCAGTATAAAGGGTCTCCGGTTCTCTACACTCACCATACGAAACACGGCAACATTCAGCTACTATTCCACACTGGTATTCTGTGAGAGCGTGGTCCGCCTTGGTCGAGCCGATCCATTATATAGCTGCCAACCACGGCTCCGGTGGTAGCACTTATATAAAGGTAATCTACGTTAACACTGACATCAGGGCGTCAAACCTCTCAGTCCCTTTGTTTTACCATCAGTGCTGTAAATTGACCGAAACGTCGGGAAATCAAAAATTTTAAATTAAGTGCGTTTAAATCTGTAAATTAAATTTATTTAAAGTGGTCCACCAATGAACATAGGCCTCCTTCTTAGATTGCCAGATTAGGTGTTGCCATAGTTGCCACGCTTGACAGTAGGGTTGGCAACCGCATCTTTTTTTTTTGAGTCGTTAAAGAGAAGTTTCTGCTGCCTGTCTCCTGTTTCAATTTCCCTGTGTCGCCTTTTACGACACCCACGAAATCATATCGATGGCCCCAACGAATAAACGTGCAAGAGCTCTTACCCAAAATTTTTTTTTTCGTATTTTTCGTTTGCTTAGCCTATTATACACCTAAGTATATTTTTTTTGAACATTTTAGACTTCGAATAAGCCTTTTATAGCACAATATTCCTTTATTGTTCGGAAAAAAATATTTACATATCACATGAATAATAAAACATACGCTTATTGCCGATTATTAGTTTATTTGAGTTCACCAGAATAAACGTGTTAAATCAATCTGCCGCTCGTGTCTATTCTTTCCTTTGGGTAATAACTCTTGCACGATTTTTCGTGTAAAAACGCAAGCGACTTTTATCAGTAATGCCTCATTGCAGGCGGCAAAACTTTGAATATAATAATTACAGCTATGCTATTGTCTTTTAACATTTTCTCTTGTTTTTTCTACTTTTGTAAAGGTTTAAGCCCTAATATTATTCGATCATGAATTTGAAGTTATTGTTAGTAACCGTTTAATAAACGGATACTTTCCCAATAGTGTCTATTGCAATCGCTCGTTACAAAAGGGGCGAAGCGGGGGCGGGGTATGTAACATGCGCGTGACATCGCTAGACCCCGGAAGGTCAGTTGGGATGCAAATTTGCTCGAGTTATTATGTAATTTCGTTTGTTTACTGAGCATATGCATTGTTGTTAATATTCTTATTAAATCATTAATGAGTGATAAGGTTGCCTATTATTTAGCTAATTTATTGTCTTATGTATTATGTAACTATTCTCTTTAGAAGGATTATTTGCTTTTACAGGCTAAGCTGGTATTATATCGAGTAAACATTTTTTGATCCATGTTAAGTACTTTTTTTCAGACAATATTATTAATGAAGATGACAGTAGTATTGAACTTGAAGAACAAAATGAAATTAAAGGTGAGAATGATGAAACTTTTTCTTTGGTTGTTGGTTAGATATAATATATATATATATATATATATATATATATATATATATATATATATATATATATATATATATATATATATTGATGGCATATCAGTCTTTAAAGAAGTCAACTCAGAACCTGATGATTTTATTACATCGGCTCCATTAATAGTAGTAAATGTATCTCCAAATGATAATAATACCTCACCACCAAATTTACCAACAAATGACATTTTAGATATTTCTCATAATGTTATGGAATCATTACTACCTGAAATGGAATACACTACTCCATTGCAATCTGTAAATAATAATGATGATTTATAGACTACTGATAATTCTATTGTAATGACTCCATCAACCCAACAAAAAATAGGTTTTATAGCCACGCCGACTGTTTTAAACATTAATAATGATTACGATCTAAGAAATATTTCCGACTTAGAGGGTTTTTACATAGTATTGAAACACAAAATATATCACAGGATATTGTAACTACAGAAACGGAGGAAAGACCCGTCACTCCTATAGAACCGCTTATGGAAAAGAGAAAAATAGATCCTAATTTATGGAAAGATCGCAAAAATAAAACTCTTAAAAATTCTGGTAAAAGTTATGAAAATGTTAATATATATGTATAACTAAAAAAGCAAAACGTAGAAAAATCTATACGTCCACCATGCAACTGCAAACTGAAATGTTACGAAAAGATACAGCAAAATATAAGGAGTAAAATTTTTCAAAATTTTTGGGCTATCGGGGACCATGAAAGACAGTGGGATTTTATTAACCGCCATGTAAAAAAAGAAAACGTCAAAAAAATTACAGTTGAACGTAAAAATAATCGTACTACAAACATTAACATATGAACTATTCGATGATACTAATTCCATGATTAAAGTTTGTAAAACTATGTTTTTAAGTACCTTGTCTATTACACAGCAAGTAGTATACACAGCTATTGATAAATTGGGAGATGACAATTATTTAAAAGATTACAAAGGAACTCATAAAAATAGGCCAAGAAGAATGTCAGAAGAGACTGAGAAAAGTATAATTGACCACATAAATCTATTTGAAAGAGTTGAATCACACTATACTCGTAAAGATAGTCAAAAGCAATATCTGTGTGAAATGAAATGAAACATTGAATGTCTCTAAAATGCACCGACTATATTTAGAATGGATAGATACAAACCACCAGTACAATCAAACATGCAAAGCAACTAAACGGCAGTATGAAATAATATTTAATACGAAGTTTTACCTATACTTTCACAAACCTAAAAAATATTTATGTGAAATATGTTCAATTTACCAAACTTCTGATGATGTAAGAAAAGAAGAGTTAAAAACTGACTATGAAAAGCACTTGAAAGAAAAACAAATGGTAAGGCAATTAAAGGAACAAGAAAAGGAAAAATTTTGTTCAGGTGACAGTGTTGTAGCATGTTTTGATCTGGAAAAAGTGTTAAATATCCCCCAAAGTGAAGTAGGCATATTTCATTATAAACGAAAGTATCCTGTATAAAAATGTCACGATTTATAACATCTTAGAGAAGAAAGGTTACTGCTACGTCTGGCATTGTCAAATTGCGAAAAGGGGTGCGATAGAAATAGCTAGTTGTCTTTGGTGATTTATCCAGGCACACGTTGAATTAGGAATAAAAAACCTATCCTTTTATTCTGATTCATGCGCAGGGCAAAATCGTAATCGTTTCGTATTCGCCATGTTTTCTTTAGCGGCGAAGAAATACAACATAAAAATAACACATAGGTTTTAGGAGAAAGGTCATAGCCAATCGGAGGGCAATTCTATGCATGCTGCTATTGAGCGTTCTAAGAAAAAGCATACTATCTACACACCTGATCAAATGTATTCCTTGATAGAGAATGCCAAAGTTACCGGGCATAAGTATCAAGTAAAACAAATGACGCAAGCTGATTTCATAGATTTTAAAGAATTAATTAAAGGGAAGAATTGGTTAAAAGATACAGATGGTAATAAAATTTACTGGAGCAAAATTAAAGAAGTAGTTTTTCCTTATAATCAACCTGATACAGTTTACTTTAGATACAGTTTTGAAGACGAATTACAAGAGATGCAAGCTATTACGAGGACTAACTCACGAAGGCGACGAGGGGAACCTATAGAACACGCTGAAAACCTAAAACTCGCATACACTGGAATGCTGCCCATACCTCTTCCTTTATATAGAGATTTAATAAGTCTGTGTGACTTGGGAGCCATACCAAACCATTACCAGTGTTTTTACAGAAATCTAGTGCCATTAAATTCCACCTCAGTTACCAACGATAGTGACGAGGAGAATTATTAGTAACCACTTATTAGTTGTTTTCTGTTACATTTTTCTTGTTTTTGTTTTAGTAATAATATACTTGATAAGTACCTACTTCGTTCTAAATTGGATAAATAAATAGTAATTATTCTTATTAACAATATTTTTTATTGAACCTTCAACAAAAAAATAGCTAATTTACATTATATACCATGCACTAATAAAGTCGTATTACATAAATATTAAGTCGATCTTGTTAACACAAATATACGGGCCTTTATCTTTACAAATATGTAAAAGCAACAAAATATACAAGAATAAGTGTGTAGATGACCAGAGCAAGGCTTAGGGAAAAAAAATATACGTGGAATAACCGTGCAACATTTCACTACACTTGTTTAAGCTTCATTTATGACACGAATAAACGTGCAGTGATACAATAATGTTAACAAGTCACATATTATTCACTAGAATAATAATTTAATACGGTTTTTCTTAAATAATCTAGTAAACCGATAATATTTCATTTATAATAACTATATGAGCTGAAAGATATCTTTTTTTACCTTTAATTTGATCACACATTATATTTGTCTATTTATTATGTAATTAAAGTTATGTGATTCCAAACGTTTTTATATCTTCCTGAAAAGTTGTCGTTTTTCAATTGCACGTTTATTCGTTGGGGCCATCGATATGGTATAGTGTCATACGCCGCAAGCGCATGTTTTCTTATACAGGGTATGATAGATTGATGGATTGAAAACACATTGGGTCTTATAATGGGTGGACTAAATACTTTGACTTGTAATGTGACTTTCTCTGCCAGTCAACCCTTAGAAAATAAGCAAAATGTTTCAATGTCATATCTTGTTACCCACTCGCTTTGCAGGCCTTAAGGTAAACTTGAGAATTTAAAAGCACGTTTTGTCCTATTCAACAACGTAATTGCCTTTTCAATATAAGAAACCGACCAGCCGTTCATTCATACAGCAACATATTCCACGTTACACAATACATAACAAGATAGTTGTGTGTTGTGCGATTTTCATAAAATTTTGTGTGCAGGGAGTTTCGGGGGCAATAAATCGATCTAGCTAGGATTTATTTTTAGAAAATGTCTTTTTTTCCGTGTTTTTAGGCAATGATAAACTGCTACAGTATTGTTAGAATAAGAAGGTAAATTTTGATAGTTTATTAATGATTACAAATAGCTTAATTGGTATATTGGGCGGTCACTAAAGCGTAGTGCCATGGTTCGAGCCCAGACCGCCCGACCGATTTTTATGTAATTTTTTTTCAAAATCTATTTTTTCAAGCCCTTTTTTTAGTATTTTTTAAAAACACGAAAATTTATATAAACTATTTGCACTCATGATTTTTTATTCAAATAACCAGTTCAGTTTTTTCTATTATGTCGCTAAGATCAAAAAATATTATTCGTATTTTATCAGTATGTAATTTGTATCTAAATATAATTTCCAAAACACACGAATTAAAAAAAAACGAGCGAAAAATACCGAGCAAAGCTCGGTCAACCGGGTACTGTTTATTAATAAACAGTCATCCTTTTTTTTTGAAAAAATTCTTAATAATTTATTTTTCATTATGCCATATTTGTTTCCTGTAATAAACTATCCTTTTATGCATGGTACTTGTACAAAATAATTTCAATGGTTCAATCACAATTTTTAATAACCACTTCGCATTATGGATTTCATTAAATTATTTCGTTTGAACGACCCCCAAACGCCCCCTAGATGAAGTGACAGCGTTATGAAACCAACAGGGAGTCCGATAGATGCAAGTGTGAATTGTCTAATCGCACTTTGTAGCATATCTATGGGGAGGGGGTGGGGGGTTGGGTTGTTTAACAGTGCACTTGTCATAGGCTGTAATGAGAATGATGATAATGATTTTGTTTTAAGTTCCTAATTCTCAACACCTACCGAACTGGGTCTCAGGATTAAGTAGGCAAAGAAAACCGGATTGTATGGTATATCTGATCCTCTTAGGTTGAGTGTATCTGTAAAAAAGCAACGGGTTAATCATCATTAATGTCTATTCCAAAATGCTCCCTCGGTAGTTATTAAATATCTTTAATATTTTAAATGTCTATTTTTTACTATGGTAAGTAATCAATTTTTCGGGGTAGTGCCATGCTGCAGCTATAGGCATTATGGTTGTAGCACAAATGAGCCAGCGCGACCGGGGAAGGTCCACGCTCTCACAGAGTACTAGCGTAAGATATCATTTTAATATTTGCTGTGTTTCGTATGGTGAGAGAAGATAACCGGATACACTTACTGGAATTCCACGAGGCATTCCATCTTAGTCCTCAGGGGTGGTCAAGGCATATACATTCTTTTTTTTTCTTATATGAAAGGGATTGAGGGTTTCGATTTTTAATTGAAGATAGGTCTAGATGTCTATGGGCCACAGCATCCACTTACCATCAGGTGGACTGGGTGCTCGTTTGTCACCTTTATTCTACATTCTAAAAGAGTACTAACAGAGTCCTAGCGTAAAAAGACAGCTTAATGCTGCTATGTTTCGTATGATGAGTGTAGAATACCGGAGACCCTTCTTACTAAAACAATGCATTCCACTTAGATCAGATCATCTGAATCGAAGATAGATGTATATGTCTATGATCCACAGCATCTACTTACCATCAGGTGGATTGTGTGATCGTTCGTTACCCTTATTCTATAAAAAAAATTGTACAAATAAAAGTTGCTCGGTGTTAGCGGCGAAAGATCTTCCAAGGTCACCGTTAGATGTTGGAAAAACTATCTGACCCTGAAATACACAGCAGCGTAATAGGTCCCAGACATCAGGTACTCCTATCGCCTATCTGTCTGCCAAGCGTGGTGATAAAAAAGCTTTCTAAATCAGAAGTGGACTGGTGATGATGTTCAGCGGCGGACTTGTGCGAGTTGATGGCAATGGAATAGACGGCTCCGTGGCGCAATGGCTTAGCAATGAGTTACTGCGCTAAGGGCCGCGGGTTCGAATCCCGCACGGATCAACTATTTGTATGGCCTACAAGTAATTTTTACGTGTCTAAATGTTTGTCCTAGTGAAATTTATGTTTGTAAACTGCCCCCACGATACAGGAGAAAATCGTAGTGTGGAGGTAACGTTAAAAAAAAAGAAAGAAAGAAAGAAAGCAGCACAGCGGCAAAAGCCTTAGGAACTCGTGAGGATTGGAACTACTCTTTTTATTTTCTGCCACCAGCAGCTGTGTTTCAGTCTGAAGTGTATAGTGGGCTAGTATGATAGGCTTTGAGGTATTCCATCTCAGTCCTCACAGGTGAAATCTCCTTTATTTAAAGTTGGCATCAGGTGTACGTGAGCTGCAGCAGCTGTAAGTTTTATTGTCACTTAGATTTTGTAAAAAAATCTATACTATAAAAGCACTTAACACGACACACCGATATCATAGATATCTATATCCAGATATCATATCTAGATACACAACACTATCGCCGTACTGATCGGAGTGAATACATAATTTCTACAAAAACTTGAAGAAACGCCGTCATAAGGTCTAAAATTGCGTAGCGCCCGCGACGATTAAAAGCGCTTAGTAATTGTCAGAATCTTAAAATATTTAAAAAAAAATTATTGATTTAAGTTATCAAAATAATGAGCAAGTAAATTATGAATATTGATGTCATGAATATATTTGAGTGATTCCCAAGCATATAGATCAAATGATTTCGTTGTAATTTCAACTATAGTGATTTTTTAGAGGTGTTTTCGCAAATAATGTTTTTGAGCAATCAAATTCAAGATAAAGACATGAATTTACCTACGAGTATATCAAAATCCCACTTTCGTTAGTGGTGTCATAGTCCTACTATATACTATTCGATGAAAGGAGGTGCATTTTTCGCGGTGTCGCCTTAAGATGAAGCGATTTAATTTTTTGTTACTAAAAACTATGAAATCACTTTTTTTTTAAATTCACTATGAAAGATAAAGATATTTCTTAGTGAATTATGGTAGCCGAAACACAATTGCCACATTTTGACTTGATACAAAAAGATCGCAGTTTCCTCAAAATCTACAATTTTATATTCTACAAAAAAAAAAAAACAGTTTCGTTCGAATGTAATTAAAGCAATTTCAATTAAATTCTGTCTATGTGTTCAACAGTAAATACATGAGGAAATTATGGATATATTTTTCAATAAATGAGTACCTATATTTCATTTTAAAAAGAAATATTTAATAAATATCTTGTGCTGCCATGTATCGCCGCTCGTCACTCGTGACCACGATACTATTTAACCTTAATAACATAAATCACCAACTTACAAGCGATATCGTCGAGTGCAGTGAGAACCAAAGCCGATGCCCCACGAGCCACGATCTGAGTCATCAGATCGGATACCTTGTCAGCTGATCTTCTACCTAAATATCAAAAATAGTTAGTCATTAACAATTTGGTACCATCACCAATTTGGACACCAGCGATCATTCATGCATCATCATCACTAACATCATTGATGGGACTGTGGAGTGGCTACTACCACGTAGAACCATAAAGTTACAGCCTATATACGTCCCACTGCTGGGCACAGGCCTCCCCTCATTTCTGAGAGGGTTTAGGGCAAGGAAGTGTCCGCCGCGCTGCCCCAATACGCATTGACGAACTTCACATGTCTTCGAAATAATATTTTCACTTATTTTTCAGACATGCAGGTTTCCTCACGATGGGTTTCCTTCACCGTAGAGCACGTGATAAATCAGCACTTAAAATTGCAAGTAACGATTTCATTGGTGCCGGCGGAGATCGAACCCGGTTTGATCGAGCTACCACGTCTCGTAGAACCATGCTGCAGCAATTTCATACTTTTGGGACGAATGGGTCGACTCGACCGGGGATGGACCACGCTCTCACAGAATACCAGCGTAAGATAGTAGCTTAATGCTGATCTGTTTCGCATGGCTGATGTGGAGAACAGAACATCCCTTTTACTAGAAACCAGGCATTACATCTTAGTCCTCGGGGGTGACCACGTATTTGCATTTTAATTTCAATCGAGAATAGATTTAGATGTCTATGAGCCACAGCATCCACCTACCATCAGATAGACTGTGCGCTCGTTTGTCACCGGTGCTTGCGCATACACTTGGGCACTATAATCCTGTCCTGTGCCGATGGCTAGTCTCTGTCGAGGCAGGCCGCCGTGGCCGAAATTCGGTATGGAAGGAAGTATATTAATTGAAAATAAGAGAATTGCAAATTAATAATGAAATTAACATTTTTTTTAATTATATCGGTTGTTATTCAAAAGTATAGAAATGATATTTAAAATTCAGGGCCTCTTGCGTTATAGGCTTCCTCCAAGTGCCTCCATTCGTTCCTGTTAGTTGCCACGTCCATCCAGTTCCTCCCCGCTGTCTTTTTTATGTCGTCGCTCCATCGATTTCTAGGTCGGCCTATCCACTCGAATGTCGGGGTCATTTTGGCCAATATGGCGCATCTGTCGAGCACTTTCCGAAGTACTAAGTAAGTATATAACAAGTATACTAAATATATATATATATATATATATATATATATATATATATATATATGGGATATTTCAAGAATTTGAGACGAAACACTCACTTTTATACTGCTTCTTTTATTTTCATTAAGTCACCAAAAACATATTACATCTTACTATCTTGATTACAATGACATTTTTTTAAAGTGACATCTTACAATTTTATTTTCAGTTCAATAATCCAAGGAGGTCAATATTCTACAACAAACAATAAAAACAAACTACTCATTGCTAAATTATCCCACACGGCCGTCCTGATCATTCATCTGACCCAGATGAATCGTCTTCCGGCGAAATCCACGGCTTCATGAGATCAGCTGAGGTGGTTGTATTAATCGGGCCTTCGCTGATACCAATCTTCTTTACAACATAACGATCGTTTGAATTGCATTTAACAACTTCATAGGGTCCTAAGTACTTAGGACATAATTTACTTCCTTGTGAGAACTGTGTCTTTTTTTATGGCTACCAAATCTCCAATATTAAAGGGTATTGCTGCTCTTCGCTTTTTATTATAGCTTTTTATGTTTTCTTCTTGTACTTTCTGTATAGATTCTTTGGCCTTCTTTCTAAGTTCTTCTCTTTTCTCGTTAAAATTCTGTATGCTTTCTTCTTCTATTAATTTCTGAAGTTCATCATCTTTATCTCTCATTTTAGTGCCAAAAAGCAGTTCAAATGTTGTCATTCTTATACTTCTTTGGTATGTTCCATTCAAATATCGTTGTACTTTGGACACACGGCGATACCATTTAGTAGGGTCATCAGCACTTAGTTTGCTATGATAATCTGATGGATGCGCTCAACTTGACCATTTCCTCTGGGTTGTCCGGTGGTAATTGTATAGTGCGTTATATTCTTACTCTTACAATACTCCTGGAAGTCTCTTGAAGTAAAAGCAGCGTTTCGATCAGTAAAAATTCTTTCAGGTGCTCCAAAGGTTTGTTGTTGTAGTCTTAGTTTCTCTAAAGTCTCTTTCGTGGTTAAAGTCTTAACAGGGTAAATCCATGTAAATTTCGTATAAGCATCCACGACGGTAAGGATGTATTTGTAACTCTTGTGAGTCGAAGTCATTGGTCCTAGATGATCCACATGGTATGTCGATAGTGGGACATTACCTTTGTCTATCGGGTGTAGGAATCCTTATTTTTTACCTCTTTTCTGCGACATGGGAATGCATTCAATACAATTACTTATGACTTTTTTTATTTTTTCAGTTAAATTTTCAATGAAATATTCCCTATTAATCAGTTCTTCAGTTTTTAAGATTCCAAAATGTCCTTTTTCGTGATTTTTCCTGATTATCTCATACTGCATTTTCTTAGGCACAACAATCAATTTACTGCCATCTTTCTCTTTATATAGTATTTCGTTCTGTATGATATAATCCTTGTATTTTTCTGTTTCTAAAATTCTTTTAATCAGTCTCACATAGTCGTCTTCATTCTGTGCTTTCTTTAAACGAGCTGTAGTTTCAGTAAGTATCATACAGATAGGATATCTGCTCAGTGCGTCGGCGTGTCTCATTCGTGTTCTTGGTCTGTGTTCGATCTTGTAGTCGTATTCTTCTAGAAGCAGGGCCCAACGAGCGACTCTAGGTGGTAAGTCTTTTTTTTGTAGTGTCATAGTAAGAGCAGAGCAATCTGTAACTATTTTAAATTTTATCCCAAGAAGGTAAACTCGGAACTTCTTTATGGCAGCAACAATAGTTAAAATTTCTAAGTAATAACTATGGTATTTTCTTTCAGCTGGAGTTGTTTTTTTTACTCATATAGTGCACGGGGTGAAATTGATTGTCTTTAGGGCTTCTTTGTAGAAGAACAGCTCCATAACCGTCAGTACTTGCGTCGGTGTGTAATTCTGTCTCTAAATCTGGATTGAATATTCGGAGAACTGGTGAGTTACACAATATTTGTTTCAATTCTATAAAAGCTTTCTCACACCTTTCATCAAAATTGAATAGAAAGAAAGAAAGAAGAAAGAAAGAAAGAAAAACCTTTATTCACTGGAACTGTACACATCACAAAAATAAAATAATAAACAGTTAAAATTTATCAAATTAATATTACAAGTGATGGGGTGTGTATCGAGCCAGTGAAAAGGTTATGACTCAGCGTAATGCTGCAGGGTAACCTACAGCGCTGATGATTCTGCCATAACCACAGATACACGCACGATCCGTCTGGGTGTATTTTATCAAATACGTTTCCATAGTAAATTAAAACTAAACGTTGCTCGTCAATATACCTATAAATAATTAGTCCCACGTATAAGTACATTAGAGATACACACATACGTAGAAGACATATTATACACATAAATTTAATATAAAAATGAAAAAAAAAAATAAAAATTTCAAAATACTATATATACATATATGCATACACATACATATACATATATACATATATATATTCGGTAAATACATACTAAAAACAAACATATAATGCTCAACGATGCTGGAATAAACATCTGCTCTAGACTTAAGGTTGAGCTTTTTGTAAGTGTAATAAATGATTTTTATAGTGTGATTTAAAATTATACCTTGAATTACACTCACGAATAGGTGGAGGAATGTCGTTCCAGCACCTAGTAGCTATATATTTGAAACTACCTCTAAAAGCTGCAGAACAGTAAGTGGGGTTGGCAAGTGGGTTCGTACAAGACCTGATGTTTTGTCGATTTCTCCATATTAGTTTACTATATAAATATAGTGGCGACTTAGTTTTCACAACATCAAACAGTAAATTAGCTAGGTGTAGTTTCTGCCGCGCTTTCATTTTTAAAATGCCTGCTTCATTGAAAAAAGGTGTTACATGAGACCGTTTCGGTATTGAGAAGCAGTATCGTGCACATGCATTTTGTATACGTTGAATTAGACGTTGTGACTTTTCCAAAATACAGGGTCCGTACACTGCAATGCAGTGGTTTAATTTTGATAGAACGAGAGATTCACACAGTCTAATTCTTAAGTCCAGCTGAATATATTCGCGGATTCTGTATAAAACCTTTAACCTATAAAAGCAGTTGCGGACAAGCTCAAGTAAGTGTTTTTCAAAACGCAGTCTGCTATCCATAACTAAGCCGAGGTTACGAGCTTCATTTACACGCTCCAGAGGGACATTTAACAACATGATTTTAGGGTTTTGATTCTCTAAAAAAATTATTTGGTTTTTCGTTCCTAAAAACATATATTTAGTCTTTAGTGGGTTTAAAACGAGGGAATTTTTTTGTGACCATATTGCAATTCGATTCAGGTCCTCATTGATGTTACTAATGGTAGTATGAAATTCAAGCGAATTGCAGGAAAGATACACTTGTAGATCGTCAGCATAAAGGTGGTATTTGCAAAAATGCATGCAATTAGTTATATCAGCAGTGTAAATTATAAATAACAACGGTCCTAAAATAGAACCCTGTGGGACACCTCTATTAAGTGGACGTTGTTCAGAAACAAGGGAAGACCCATTCGGTTGATTTAATATTACTTGTTGTGAACGACCGCATAAGTAACTTTGAAACCATTTTATGGAAGATGTTACGAAACCATAAAAAGATAGCTTAGACAGCAGCAAATCTATGTTAATAGAATCAAACGCCCTTGAAAAATCAAGCAGGGTAAGGATCGTACCTCTACCATTGTCTTGTGATGTAAGAATATTGTCAACCACGTCGAGTAAAGCAGTAGACGTGCTTCTACCTTTTCTAAATCCCGACTGTAAGTCAGGTAAAATATTGTTAGTATCACAAAATTTGATGACTTGATTATATATAACTTTTTCTAAAATTTTAGAAAGAAACGGTAGTATACTTATTGGTCTTAAGTCTTTCAGATCTTTAGGATCATTGTTTTTAGGTAAA